GCCATGCATGTGTGGAGGGGGGCTGGTGTGCATTCAGTCTGCCACCCCCTGCCTGCTCTTCTCTTCCATCCTCTTTCCCTCTGCTGTTGACCCTATCCCATCCTCCTGATCCCCACACTTCCTCTACCAGGGGCAATAAGAATCAAACTCCTGTTCCTAGGCACCTATGTGTGCCTACAGATATGAGGTCTCCCTGGTTGCTCCCAGAGCCAATGGGGTGGTTACTGTGAGGACTACCCTGAAGGGATGCTGGGCACCAGGAGCTGTGCAGATAAGGGAGAGTCCAGCCCTCAGAGACCCGAAGGACGATAAGAGACAATGGATGTAAAGTGCTTTGCACCACCAGGAACACATAGTAGGTGCTTAATTAGTCTTTGTTTTGTTCCTCCTTCAGGAGGCTGGAGAGAGTGAAGCTGATGGGGTGGATGAGGTGCCTCTGAGGGCATTTGCACTCCTAGAGACGGCTGTCAGGTGCCCCTGACAGTGTTAACGATCCCAGGAACAGGTAGTGCTGAGAGAAAGAGACTAGCACCTGGCATTCTAGCCAAGCTCAGTCATCCATTCTGACATGGGGTCGTGGGGTGCTGGGAAGAGTGGTAACCAGAGCAACATTTGGAACCCTCCCTCCTTAATCCTCCCTCCGGGAAGGACCCTTGAGCAGGCCTGGATTACCCCCTTCTGGGTTGGCTGCTTCCACTCTAGCAGCAGGGCCTCTGCTAGCTTGCATCGGCCCCAGGAGACTTGGGTTCAAGTCCTGGTCTAGGCAACTGCTGACTCTTGGTGGTTAAGACACCTCACTTTCCCTCAGGGAGCCTCAGTCTTCTCTCCTGTACCATGTTATGGAGAGGATTAAATGAAATATTGCCTGTCAAGTGCCTGCCACCTCCCTGCCCCAAGGGGCCAGGCCACTGTGGGTTTTGCAGAGCCTGCCTTCACATGCAAGGGAAATTGGGGGGCTGTTTCTTGACCAGATGCTGTCTGCTTCATCTCTGGGTCCCTGGTGCCCCGGCACAGGACGTGTTGAGGAAGAAAGAAGTAAAGGGGGGCCTCATTTTAAGCCCCATCACCTTGTCACTCTAGTAGGGGACAAGCCTGCCTCTCTGTACTTAATGGCGCATCCCTGGGTAGCCATGGGGTGTCTGGCTCTGACTCTGGGGTAAGTGTTGGGAGGGAGCACTGGACGGGGATTCCCATCCTGCTGCTTTAGATACTAGCTCATTGCATTATGTGGACAGAACCGGTCCTTGGAGGGCAACAGAGACACGGGACCTCCCACCACTCTCTTTTCTGTGCCTAGAGGATTCTCTGGTGCTGGTGCTGCCCACACCACAGATGGGCAGCCCTGGAAGCCAAGGCTGAGCACTAGGGCCGCTCAGAACTCCTGTGGCCTCAGTGCCTTTGCCAGCACCCCCTCACCCTTGCTTCTGTTCTCCCCTCTTCACACCCTCTTCTTCCCTGGCAGGTGGGCACGTCTAGGGCTCAGTCCCGCCCTGGTCTAGGTAGGTGGTTTCTTCCACCCTGACCGTTCTTACCTTCCTCCACCTTCCTCCCTCCCTCCCTCTCTCTCTCTCTCTGTCTTTCACTGTCTCTGGACTCCTTATTCTGTCTCTGCAAGTCTCCTTCTGCCCTGGCCTCTGTCTCTCAGAGCCTGCCTGGTCCTGCCCTCTTGGCTTCCTTCCCCTGCTTGCCCGCCAGCCAGGGCAGCAGGTCTGGCTCTCCAGCCTGGAGAAGCAAGAGTCCACCCTCCCTCTCTTGCTGGCTGCCTTGGAAGCCACTCTGCCTTAAGTGTTGCTAGGCCCGTGGCTGGGCGCACCTGGCTTCCATGGCAACGGGTGCTTAGAAACAGACGCCACACATCCCAGTTCCCGCATGAGTCTTCGTAGAGCTGCTGCCTTTCCCCTTCCGATCAATCAGAACAGGGCGCGGGGCTGGCACTAGGCTGGGGAGGTGAGAGAAGGGGCGAGAGGAGAGGGGACCACAGTCTCTGCCTTCTGGAGCTTGAGGGCCACTGGGGTTGAGGTGCTCCAGTGTGGCCCGGAAGCCAGGAGGGGTCAGGAGGGAGTGCACGGCACGGTTTGCAAAGGGCTGGGTTTGGATTGCTGCTCTAACAGTTCTAGCTTTGGGAATTTAGACAAATGACTTTATGTCCTGGGGCCTCAGTTTTATCAACTGTAAAATCGAGCTAATAACATGAAGATCAGATGAAAAACTCAGCTGTGGGTGGACAGGCACTTAGAAGGAAATCACTGATGTCATTCCCTTCCCTTCCCCTTTGATGTTATGGAAGATTAATTAGCAGAGAGGAGGGGACAGTAGCTCAGGCTCCGGGACTGGTATAAGGAAAAAGGTGGAGACTGGAAGGCATGTGCAGGGGGCTTTGACTGGGGGCCTGTCCCTTAGCTGCATTCACAGGCACTCAAGGCCACAGACCATCGACTCTGATGGGCGTGAAGACGCTGGTGCTGGAGTCCTGACGCCACAGCAGCTCGGGTTGTTAAAAAAAATAAGAGTGTACACTCTGGGGCTCTTAATGTCCTCAGGACTCCAGGCTCTAGCATTCTTAGAATGTAAGAAGCAGACTCTTCAAATAATGGGACATATATAGCAAGAGACTCTGAAGTTCTTAGAACACAAAGCTCTGGGAATTCTTAGAACCTTGACGTTACAGCCGGGGCCTCCCCGTGTGACGTTGCTGAGTTGGCAGGGAGTCTGCAGAGCATGGGGCCTTGGTTCTTGTTGCTTACACTTTCTTGCCTTGGTATCCCTCGTGGGTTCAGCTCCGAGCAGCTCGTCTGTGTGTGTGTGTGCATGCATGCATACACACATGCGTTGATACAGATATGTGTGTATGTGTGTTCATGTGTGTTCGTGTGTGTGTGTAGCTTCAGTCAGTGACGAAAGTAAACTGTGGCATCTCTGGAGCAAAAACAGCCCAAGAGTGGCTGGCAGAGGAAAGATGGGCAGTTTGTTGGCTGCAGCAGACTGGACTGCCACCTTCATCCCCCCAGCCTGGCACCAGGGGTCAGGAGGAAGCATCTCCATGTAGCCCTCCGAGGATATTCCCTCAATTCCTTCAGAATGAAGGGTGAGAAGCATCACTGAGGGATGGATTCGGGATAGGCAGGCAATGAGAGGAAAGGAAGAGCGGACTCAATGAGGCGATGGGGTTCAGTGAGGGGATGGGGTTCAGTGAGGGCTGGGGCTCAGCAGAGGCTGCTGAAGTGTGTGGCAGCATTGCACCTTCTCTGTACTGCCTAGGGATCCTGAGCTTGGTGACTGATTGGGGGAAGCTGCGCACAATCCAGTGCTTGTCTTTGGGCAGACTGAGAGATAAAGAGCTCCTTTTCCTACTATTTTTTTTTTGCATAGAAGATCTGGGGTACAGGCCAGAAGTGTGGGGGTGAGAGGATTCACCAGAGACACACCGGGGAGCAGAACAGGCAGACTGACTGAAATACACTGCTGAGGGGAGCAGGAGAGGTCTGCTGCGCCATGCGGGTAGCTCCCTGGCCAGCTGAGGATCGAACTCAGGCCATAGCGGTGACAGCGTTGAGGCTTAACCCCACCAGGGAAGACCTCTTTTTCCTACTTCTACCCAAAGCTGGAAGGGTTGGTAGCGCTCCTGAGAAAGCTGGGTCTGCCTCTCCTCTTGCCCTTCTTCCTGGTTTCCATGGGAATACTGGCTCAGGGTGATCTGGACTTGGCAGGGTCAGGTGGAGCCATCCCACGCAAGGAGGGCTTGACTTCAAAGAAAGTGAGATCCCTGTCCCTGGGGGTGCAAACAGGGACTGGATCTAGTGCCTTCAGAAAGGAACTTAGATGGCAGAAAGAGATTGAGAGGCCTCTTCCCTGAGAAAGGTGGGCTTAGGGTGATTGCCCAGGTGGCCCACCTTCCAGATACCCCTGGTCCTCATTGAAGAGGTCTCCATGCCTGGGCGCTGCCAAATCTGCCCCCACTCCTGCTCTCTGCTCTGGGTCCTGTGCTGGACATGGACACAGAGTAGAATCAGCCCCAGTCTCCTGGAGGGCAGCCTCTCCCTGATGGGGGAGGCACACAGGGGAACAAATACAATCCCCTTCAGCTCCACATAAGGGGCAGACCAGGCTGGAAGAAGGTTGTATCATTGATTCCCGTAGTCAATAGATGTCTTTGAGAGCAGTTCCTATGGGTCAAGCTTTGTTCTAGGTCCTGGGGTCTAACAGAAAGAGTCCTGTCCCTTAGAGCTGACCCACAGCAGAGCAGGCAGGCCGAGCACCTGGCCACGCGCAGAGGATCCAGAAGATGTGCTTCTTCTGAGATGGGTGGGTGTGAGGAGTGTGACTAGAAGGCAGAGTGTGGGCATAGCAGAGAGGAAGTTTTTCTTGGAGTTAAGGGCCATGAAGGCCAGAATCAGGCCTTTAATTTTACCCTGTGGGCAATGGAGAGTCATGTGTGCAGGTGAGGCAGGGTCAGACCTGGATGAAGAAAGGATTATTCCAGCAGGTATGGGTTTTGGGGGAAGGAGGCAACATGGTGCCAAAAGAGACACTGAGGCAGGTGTGCTCATTTGCCTTGCTGTGCATGTTTGCATAGGGGTGTGTGTCTGTGTGCAGGAAAGAAGGGAGTATGTGTGTGTAAGGACTGAGTGTGTGCAGGGTGTGTATGGCCTGGGGCAGCCTTGTGTGGAGGTAAGGATCCTGGGGTTTGTGGGTGATAAGGAGCCGAGCTATTTGTGGCAGAGATGAGCAGAGGGTCCAGGGGCTGGGAACATGGGACCCTCTGCCACTGCATTATTGGGGCCAAAAAGATAGGTTCTGGGAAAATCAGTTTTTCTCACTTTCTTTCCCTCAAGAAGTGAGGCACGAATTGGAGCCAGATGAGCAGGGTTTGAATTTTGACCACTACTTACTAGCTCTGTGACTATAGGCAAGTTGCTTAGTCTTGCTGAGCTTCAGTTTTCCTTATCTGTAAAATGTAGCTATTAAAGACCCTACCTTATACTGTGGTTGAGAAGATGAAATATGAGGCACAAGGTAAGTGCTCAGTAAATGTCAGACACAGAACCCTAGGCCCAGATGTACCCATGCCCTCTTAGGGGGCAGCCCCAGTCTTTGTTTCTGTGGGACTGAGGTCTGTCAGGGATGAGATGCACGTAATGCCGGTTCTCTAACCTTGTAACTAATTAGAATCACCTAGGTCATTTAAAAATATATGGGATGTGGGGGTCCCTGATACCAGCAGTTTTAGATGCTCCCTAGGTTATTTTTTAAAAAGATTTATTTATTTATGCATATAAGAGCTGGGATACAGGCCAGAGGTGTGGAGGAGGGTGGTGAGAGGATTCATCAGAGACTGAATGGGGGAATAGAACAGGCAGATTGACTGAAATACACTGCTGAGGGGAGCGCCGGGCAGCTGTGCCATGTGGGTAGATCCCTGGTCACTCTTGCTACAGTGGCTGCTGATAGCTTCATAGGTTGCATCTTAACCCCTTGTGCCACCAGGGAGGCCCTCCCTAGGTGATTCTAATGAGAGCCAGGGTGAGAACCCATCATAGAATCACAGGATGGGGAACTGGGGGTAGGGGCCTGTGGAGAGTGGGAGCCTTAGTCTTAAAGCAAGGATTACTTCCTGGTAAGAGCTGGGGTAATCTGCCCCCTCACTTTGTTTGCCTCTTCTGGGAGGGGACTGGTTAGAGAATTTAAAAGATTATATGAAGGGGTATTTCTGCACCCTACCAGGCTCCCCAAATAATAAGTTTACTGATTGAATCTAGTGAGGAGATTGAGGTCCAGAGACATGCAGTGGCCTGGCCAGAATCACACAGCAAATCTATGAGAGAGTTAGGACTCAGCCCTCTGGGGAATGCTTGAATCTGAAGGATTGACACAGTGAATTTCTCTGCATGGAGGGTGACACAGCCTGGGGCCTTGCCATTGAGATGCAGAATGAGAGACTTGAAGGAAAATTTAAGAAATAACTTCTGAGAGTTGAGTGCTCTCAGAGGTGGTCTGCCTAGAGTTGGGGGCCCAAGAGATGGCAGCTGTGCCAGGCCAGGGATGGCTCTTGACTGAAGGTAAAGATTGAGTATCTCTGCTCTGTGGCTGTAACAGATCCCCTGGGTATCTGTGTCCTACCCCCAGATCCCTCCCAGGCTGTCCAGAGTCTGGAACTGAGCTGGTGACAGGTGCTCAGGATTTACCAAGAGCCTTGTGCTCTGGCTTCAGACTTCTTACAATAGTCCTTACCTTGGTAACCCCCTTTTACAGAGCCAGAAACTAAGAACCTTCACCTATCTTAGCCCCTATTAATTTTTCCTACAGCATTAATAAGTAGGACAAATTGCTTCTAGTCTGAAAATGCAGTAAAACACATTGATTTGGCCAGGATCACTTGTGACAGACAAGCTCTCCCAAGCCCACCTTCCCCAAGCCCATCTGAAATGACTCACTGGAAAGATAAAAGTAGGGGGGCCCAGAGGACAAAGCAGCCTTCAGGGAAGGACTCCTGGAGGAGGTGGGTCTGCGACTGCCCTCTGAATGATAATCTGGCTGGCAGGATCAGGAAGGCATTGGGGGTGGGGAGGTGTGGGTAAGGCCTGAAGTGCAGATGAGTCAGTCTCTCTGTCCCTGTTTCTCCTGGTAGAGCAGGAAGTATAAATTGAAGGAGTGACAGCAAGGAGGTCAAAGCTGGCAAAACTAGCGGGCGTTAAGCTGGTTAAACTAGAGGGCCTGGCATGTCAGGCGGAGGGTTTGGGCTTCATGGTGCTGGTAGCAGGGAGTCACCCATGGTGTGTGAGCAGGGTAAAAGCACGTCCAAAGCTGTGGAGGGAGGAATCCTGGCATGGAAGGCTTCCGAGTTGGTGGCATCACCAGGCCTTGCCCAGCCTATGTACCAGGTGCCTGGACTGTGTCCAGGACTGGGCTCAGTGATTCAATGTTGAGGAAAGCAGTCCCCAGGAAGAAAGGGCCGGGATGAATCAGCCCAATGAGGTGGGGAGGTTGGGAGGCTGGGGGTTCACTGAGTCACTCTCCAAGAGGTTGGGGGGTGGACAGAGAGAAGAGCCCACAGTATGGTGGGAAGGATTCAGGTCAGACCACAGCAAGGGATCTCAAGAGACTCTGGCTGCCCTTCTACCATAATAGGGTTTGCTTTTCCTGGCAGTTCTGTGCAGGAGAAGGGAAAACTGAGGTCCAGAAACCGGAAAGAGGGTCCCGCCAAGGTCAAGGAGCAAATCGCTGGGAAAGACCTGGCCAGATCCAAGCGCATCCTCCAGTCCAGACACGGCCCACCCAGCCCCAGCCGAGGCCAGGAGTGGGTCTGTCGGGCAGGGAGCTTCTCCCAGCGACACCCCCTGCTCCCCTCCCTCCAAGGCCTGGCGGAGGCAGGTGGGGCCGAGTGCGCGGCGTGCTGGGACGGCAGGGGGCGCAGGAGCGTCGCGGCTGCCGCAGGAACCCCAGCTCTGCGGAGAGCTGCGCTCGGCGCGCGCGGGTGCTTTGGTGAAACTGTGGTCTGCGCCCCGGGGACTGCTCAGCGCCCGCGCCCGGTGCCGGGGGCCAACGCCCCGACCCCACTCCGCCTGGGGCGCCCTCCGCGTGTGGGCGCGAGTGTCTGTGCGCGCACGTGTCTCCCTCGCAGATTTGCCACATTTCCCTGGGCCTCCGGTGTCGCGGCGACCTCTAAAATTTCCCCGATTTCCCTCGCTCCCCCCCTTTTTTCCTGGAGGAGTAAGTTCGGGGCTCCTCGTATCATTTCGGTAGCCCCTTTCCCCTGCGGCCCGCTCTCCCTCGCCCTCCCCTGCGCTGGCTCCTGCCTCGGGCTCTGGCCCGGCCCAGGACCCCCTAATCGGTGCAGGGGGACGGATCAGACCCGAGAGGGGGTCTCTTGGCGACCCCTGCGAGGTAGCGAAGGGAGTGATGAAGGGGCAAAAGGGCGTGCAGGCTGAGAGCGGGCTCCCCGGCAGGGGACCCTGGTAGCGGACAGCTGGGCGAATCTGAGAGCGGATAAGGGGGGTGAGAGCTGGGGGGCGGGGGGAGGTCTGGCGGGGCCCGAAGATCCGACGGGGCGAGAGGGGCTGTCGGCGGCGGGGTGGGCGGGGCCTGGGCGGGCGAGGGGCGGGGCCGTGGCTGGGTGGGCGGGGCCTGGCGGGCGAGGGGCGGGGCCGGGGCGGGGCCGGGGCGGGCCCTCGCGCGGACCCGGCGAGGCTGTCGCGGACGCGCTGACCGAGCTCAGCGGCCGGGCCGGCGGGCGGGCGGCTGCGAGCATGGTCCTGGTGCTGCACCACATCCTCATCGCTGTTGTCCAATTCCTCAGGCGGGGCCAGCAGGTCTTCCTCAAGCCGGACGAGCCGCCGCCGCCGCAGCCATGCGCCGACAACCTGCAGGTAGGGGGGCCCCCCCGAACTGGGCACGAGGAGAACCGGGTGTCAGGCAAGCACCCAGCCGGGTCCCCTCCGGAGCGTTCAGTGGCCGGCTCCAAGAGCCCTCCCGCCTCGGAGCCATCCTCAGGGTGGGGACACCCCTCCCCAGCTCTGAATCCCACTCCTGTGCTGGGGTTGCAGCCCTCACCGAGCCCTTAAATGCCCTTAAAAGCCCAGGTCCCAACCTCACCCCAGGCTCCAGCCCGCTGTCGGATGGATCCAGGACTGCACCCCCAACACTGAACTCCCAATCCACATTGGGACCCCTCTCCTCAACAACAGTTCGCTCCAGCCTGGGGCCAGTGCCTCCCAGATTAGTGAAAGACCCTGGTCCAAGCTCCTGAACACCATGTATATACATATGAGGCCAGACACACCCTGAACACCTGATCCCCTAACCCCCCCCATCAGTCAGGGCCCCACCTCAGATCAGGGGACTTCCCTTAAGCTCCTGAACCTCTATTCCACAGCCTCAACTGCACCCCACTCAGATTCCCACAGAAACATCTGAACTGTAGTTCTCACCTGGGACTTCACCCCCAGGTCCAAAGGCCTGTTTCCATCATGGTTTCTCTCTCATTCTCTTCAGGACCCCTCCAGCCCTGTTCCTCCCTCCCCTCCCTTCCTCCTGTGTAGAAGGCCCCCTCATCTTTTTTGGTTGGTCTTACCCTCTCCAATCGTTTCTCTCCGGATGTGGTGGTCCCACTTGATTCTCTGGTTTCGCTGAGTCTTTCTAGGCTTCCTCTCTGCCCATTTCTCTCGTTTGGTCTCCTCTGCCCACTTCTTTCCATCTATTTGTCACTCCCCTCAATTCCTCTAGGTCTCTGTCTTTAATCTAGCGACTTTCCCTGGGGGCTTCCTTTCCCCATATATCTATACTCTGCTTTGGGGTGAGGAGGGGCAGACTGGGGCCAGGCCAGTGTCCCCAGGACCTTTGCCCTCCCCGTGATGTCAGGCATGGCATGGTGTGGGCGCTGATGGAAGGGGTTAAACATGGAGTTTGCAACCCTTGGGCGGTGCCCAGGGATGTCGGGCGGGTGGGAATCTGGCACAGTGGGATACTGGGGTTCATAATTTATAACCCCCTCTATCCTTGCTGTCCTGGCCTTGACTGGGGGTGCCTGGGGCTTGGGGTGGAGAAGGGGAAGAGTAACTGCAATCTGGTGCCAGTTACCTGTGGTGGAGATGTCCAGGGCTGGGTGAGTCTGGGGTGCATGTGCTTGTGCAGGATGGGCTCGGTTGGGTATGCCTTGTGTCTGGTCATATGTGTTGTCATGTAGTGTTGTATGTGTCATCACACGTGGGATTATTTGGGAGGAACTTGTGGGGCTTATGATGAGGATTGTGAGTGTATGGTGTTGCATCCTGTGTGGGACTAGGGAAGCTGTGGTGTGGGCATGGAGGAGCAGCTGTATGCATGATGGTTGTGTGTGCATGTGATTGTGTGTCAGTCATTCTGGAGTTGCTGGAGGGGCAGCCTGCATGGGGGATAGTGTGTGTAGTTGTATACATTATTGGCTGTCATGTTAGCAGGAAAAGCTATGTAGGGGGCCTGATGACAGGTTTCTTTGGGCATCTTGGAGAGGAGAAAGAGAAAGCTGTGTGTATCTGAGTGTTTACAGCCCTGGTGACTGACTTCGAGTACATTCTGGGCTTGCCTGGGAAATATTTTAGGACCTGTGTGTTGGTGTTTGAGTGTCGTATGTGTGTGTGTGTGCCTGTGTGTGTGTGTGTGTGTGTGTGTGTGTAGGAGGCGGTGTGCAGGCAGGCTTGTCTATGCTCAGGGACTGTGTGTGCCCACAAACGTGTGACATTTTGGTGTGACATTCAGTGTGCGTATTATCTATGCAGGGTATGTCTGCATGTGTCTGTGTCTGGGCGGTGTGTGTGTTGAATGTAATTGGATATGTGTGTCTGTGGCTGGGGGTGAGAGTGTGGGGTGTGTGGGGTGCCTGGTGGGAGGCTGAGTGTGAGTTTAGTGTGAAGTGTGGGTGTGTGAGCTGTGTGACTTTTCAGTGTGACATGTAGATTATGTGATCCTTTCTCCCTGTGAGTTGTTTATGTGTGTGGTGAGGAGTGAGGGGTCTGGTGAGTTAGGGGTACACATGTGGGATGAGTCTGTGTGGAAGCCTGGGGAATGTGCTGCAGGGGAAGGGAGTGTGCACATGAAGTATATGGGGTCAAGAATGAGCTATGTAATGTTTGGGGTGTGCAGAACACAGCAGGTGTCCCATAAATGCTTGTGGAGTGACATGTGCTGGGAGTGCTTGGCTGGTGTCCTGTCCTTGTTTCCCTCCCAAATGAGGTCCCTAGAGATGTCCAGTGACGTTCTTGCATGCCCCCCCAAGCCAGGCTGCCTCTACCCTTTGCCCTTCGTCCCCCTTGCGCTGACCAAGGCCTTTGTCTTGCGTTTCCGGCTGAGCAGGCGCTGGGCAGGCGGGCGGCGGTGATGGCGCAGTCCAGGAATCTTTGTTCTTTTCTCCTTCTCTGGTCTCGTGTTTGGGGGCTGGGGCTTGCAGGGGGCGGGGAGAGGATGCACGTGTCCCCAGGTCACTGTGTTTATTATCCCCTCACAGTGCTCACAGAGAAGTGAGGTCCAGGAGCTGGCAGTGAGGTCTGGGTGGTGTCCTCCTTGGGACACCACCTGGGGAGCCTCCTTGACGCGGGCGCAGCTTGGGCGCGTTTGCCAACCATGAGGTCTTCGTCCCGTGGGCGCCCGGCACCCTTCCTGACTCAGATCGGCTCAGGGGTGCCGAGCAGCCAAGTGCCCCCTTCTGCATGCAGGCCTGTCCCCCTCCCAACCCACCTCCACTTTTGTTGACCCCCATATCTGATGGAGAGTCACTGAGGCCCTTTCCTAAAAAATAGGCCTGGCCACATTTGGGGAACTCTCTAGGGAAAACTTTGGGAAAGCTTAGAGGGCAACCTCCTGATAGGTAACAAGAGCACGACAGGCCAGAACGGCTTAATGCTGGAAGCACGGAGACTATCAGCTTCAGTCAGGGAAAGTGTTGCTTCAGCGTCACATACCAGAAGGGTCTCTGAGGTGAGTGGACTTGAACTGGGCCCAGAAGGGGGCATTGGGTAGGCAGAGAAAGACGGCCTGCCGCTGAGGAAGATTCTGGCCCAGTTGAAAAATGGGATCTTGAAGGTAGCTGAGCTTTGCCAAGCAATAATATCTGGCTTCGGATGGCCATCCTGGGCCACAAGCCTTCTCACACTTCCCACCCCACCAGAATCAGTGTCACTGTCATCATCGTCATCATCATCACCCTTTAGTTAGCTCTTTGCAAATTCCAAGCTCCTTTCACCAATGTCTCATTAAGCAGATTAACTAATTCAATAGTCTAGGCGCGTTTAGCGAGCACCTGCCATGCACCAGGCAGCCAGAGTTTGAAGTGTGGGAGTATAGCAGTGACCAAATAGGCCTCAAGGGGCTTCCGCCTTCTGTGCCTTCCTGGCCCAGACACACTGTTGGCCCCTAGACCCTGGGCAGACGGGCTTCCCTTCTGTATTCCCCCAGCCTGCCGTGCACCTGGTTTATGAAGCTCCAGGTACGCAGCTTGTGCTGGTGGGGTTGGCTCCCGCCAGAATGCTAGCTCTTCGGAGACTGGACTGGGCTCCTCTCTCCCTGCTGGGGTGTTCTCAGCTGGGCCAGCATAGTCCAGATGCTCATATCGGACATCCATTGTCTACAACCCTGTGGGAGGTCGGCAGACCAGCTACCATCTAGGGAAACTGAGGCCCAGGATGGGAAAGGGATTTAAGGTAGAGTCTTCCTTAGACCTTCTTTTCACCAGCATTACCAGAGACCAAGAGAGGTCAAGCAATCTGTCCAGGTCTCGCAGCAAGGTGGCAGGACTGCTTCCAGGACACACTCTCTGGCCGCCAGGCTGGGCTCAGGCCCGAGCCCCATGCCGCTCCCTGGCTGGCCTCCATGATGCCTGTGGCGGGTAAAGGATTATTAATGACCCCCCTGGCAAGGAGACAGGAAACGTTTCCCAGCCACAGCTGGGGGCCTGCTCCCTGCCATACCCACCCTGGCCACGGTGTCAACACCAAGAGGATCTCCTTTCTGCCTTGGCCTTCTTAGCTCCTGCTACCCGTCTGCCTCCTGCTTCCCAATTCTCTCGGGGTAGAGGGACAAAACTTCCTCTTCCACATCTCTGTCTCTCACTGCTTTCTTCAGCCTGATTTCTCTCCATCTTCTTTCCTGCCCCAAACCAACTGGAAGTAGTGCCTCATCTAGGAAGTCTTTCCTGAATGCACTGCCAGCCCCTCCAGTAGGCTTATTTGGGTCTCTGAATCTCCCCCATTGGTCCCATTATGACGGTTTGCTCTGATGGCCCTAAGGCGCTCTGGGGACTTCCTGTGGCCTGTCCTTAATTGCTGTCCCAGGACTGACACATGGAAGATCCTCCCAGATGCCTCCTCCAGAAAGTCCCCAGTACCACACAGGGACTCTCACCTCCTCCAGGAATGGCATCCCAGCCCTGCTTTTCCATGCCACACATGGTGTACTGCCAGGCCTTTATAGGTGGGCATCTAGTATGTGCCCAACAGAGAGGTAGGTAGAGGTGACCATGAGGTGGGCTTTAACTTTCTGCCATAAATTCTACCTGTGGCAGGTAGACAGACCTCGGTACCAAACTGGCAGGTGAAGGGGTAGGAGAGGGCCACAGACAAAGGTTGGTGCTGGCAGTGTGTGATGAAGGCAATTATGGAGAGAAACTCAGGGGCCATGGTGAGGTAGGGCAGAGGCCCCTAATTCAGCCCAGAGTGGGAGGGAAGGAGAGTGGGGGAGATTCCAGGAGGGTTCAGAGATAAACCAGGAGAAAGCTCTAAACAGAGGAGGGAATGGTGAAAGTGCAGGTCTGCTGGTGACAGACAGAGGGAGGAAGTACGTAGCTCTGCGTCCACGCAACTGGATCCCAGATTCCAGGGTAGTTGGGTCAGTAGGACCT